AATTTATTAATCTTCCGTTTCTTTTATTTTTTCCTTATCATTTCAACACTGACTTTTTATTCAGGATTTAATTTTTATTTTAATTTCTAGTTATAAATAGGTGAAATTAGCTTAATAACAGAAAACAATTTCATTCATTATCACAATGAAATTTTATATCGACCAACTATTTGGATAACTCATGCGATATTAAAATTCAATAACATTCTTTTGAAAGCAGTATTCCTTTTATAAAAATACTTAATAAAATTCTAGTATACGGTGCAGCCTTGGCGCAATTTTGAAAATTATCGCCAACACCAAAATGGCGTATTTAATTATGGCAAAACACACTAGGGCTATCTGCCTAAGGGGAGGGATGCCTTCGTGGAGGACTTCCTAAGGGAAACTGGCTCGTATGCACGTTACACATGGGGAAAACCACTAAAACGCCCATGCAGCCAGCCCGTTCACGGGATTCGAACCTCGGACCGAACTACCAGTGTTCAGCGACTTTACTGCTCGGCCGCTGGTGGGCCTCCAACACCAAAATGACCCGTTTAACTACTCATCGTATGTGTCCCGTTTACTGCTCTTCATAAAGTCGCCAAATCCCTTGTGCTACAAATACCTTGTGCATATGATTAAACCAAATACTTAATTGTCTATTGAAGCTTCAAAACGTATTTCCGAACTTCACTTTCTTTCGGCTAGTGTTACCGAATTTGCCCTTGGCGACCTAAAATCGAAACGGATTTCCCGCGACTATTCCCGCCAACAGATTTCCCGCAAAATCGATAATAGACCCTCTGCAGAAATAAACTCATAATCCCGATATCCCATACATATATGTGCAAAAGAGAATAAACTCCGTAGAAGGTGATCAAAAATTAATTTATGGCTTAATTCAAACAAACACAGAAATTAAGGTAAGCAAAACCATGTAAAAACAAATTGAAATGATAAAACGAACTTAGCTTTCATGTAAATTTTCAGTGCTGACTCTCTCATTCTAGAAATTTCAATTTGTTTCAGACAAAGACCACATTTAGCTTTATAAGGATTGTCAACCATCAATATCCAGAGTCTTTGTAGTCAGCATGATGAAGCCACAGTTTATTGAAAATGCACTTTCCAGGCATTTCGTTCCTATTGGCATCGGGGGGGGGGGCCTTCCAGGTTGGAATTGTTCTAATTTTGGCAAATATTTCCAGAATCCCCCCCTTTTTTTTTCTCGAGCACCTTCATCATCACTTCCGCCTCTTAAAGAACTTCTGGCTTCACACTTTCATCACAATCTGCATAAATTTATGGATAACACCTCTTTCGAAAGATTGGATGAATAGCCAATCAGACACCTGATACTTTTGTCCTAGGGTAGCTAATTTTTTTTTTTTTTATCGTTTGCAATGAAAATCCGCCAACAGATTGGTTAAGAGTCGTGTAATTTTAATTCCATATTCATGAGAAATCGCACATTCACACTTATAATGGCAATCATTAGAAATGGTAAGAAATGTCAAATGAGCAAAATTAAGGACCGTTCATTTATTTTGACCAAAATTAAGGACTTTTAAGGACCAAAAATCATTTTTGAGAAATTTAAGGACTTTTAAGGACCGTACGAACCCTGTATTATAGGCTACAGATGCTCAATCCAATTTGTTGGCAGAGAATTTATTTTAAAAACATTTTAAGCGGTACAGAATGCTTGCGGTTAAATGAACAAAATTTATTGCCACACAACACAAACAGTATTCATGTGTAGGAGAAAATTTGCATTATACATTTAAGTAAAAAAGAGGTGAAGAAAATAGTTTTTCTTTCTAGTGAAAAATCTACAAACTCCAGTAATTTTGGGAAAGGAATTTTTAAAGGTAGCGGTTGTAAAAATGAATTTTCAGGAAGCCGCATTACACCTGGATATGAATGAAATGAAGCAGACAGAAATGCACCCTCCGACCTTTGAGCTGAAACACCTGAAGGCTGAACAGAAACACAAGCTGAAACAGTTGGTAAATTATTTAATGATGCTCCTGATCTAACGCAAATTATAAATAGAAATCCCCCCCCCAAACTGAAAGCAGCAAAAAGCAATAAGATAAAGTAGGAGAGGGAATAATAGAAAATGTATCCAGGAAATGAGAATAATAATTCTTATAAGTGGCCCTTATACTAGCCTGGTAGTACTATGAAGTAAAAAAAAAAAAATTATCTCCCTCCAAGTGCACCTTGATCAGAATGAAATCTTAATTTAGAAAGGGTATTCAGTTTCAATGCCATATATTTGGATGATTAATAATGCTCTAAATGTATTATTGGCTGTTTTCAGTTGTAGTTCACAAAACATTTATGTCACTAATTTTATGTGTAACTCTAATGATAACTAATTCATAATTAATCTAGAAATGATGCAGTTCAGAAAAAGTTATTAAAAGTAATTACCCTTTTTGGAATAGGAAAAAGAAATTTTCAAATTAAAATTAATTAAAAGACTTTTATGAATTTTAAATAAAGTTTTTATTTACATATTTTTATCTTAATGGTTATATCACTGTATAAAATATGCATTATCCCAAATTTCACTCATCACATAAGCATGGCAGCACTTTAAATATGCAGCGAGCCGAAAGTCCTCTCGTGTGGTTTTGTGGAAGGGGAGACGGGTGGAGATCCTTGAACCCCTCGCTTTCCCGGGGTGCTCTCCATCAAAATTGGGGGGCAAAACTGAGCCAAAATATTCTCATTTTGTGGCCGTCTGACTCTAAGAGATGATTGTAAAATTAATATTTTATAACAATTTGAAGCAGTAAATATGTACTGGCACCATTTGCAGCAAGGTATAAAGGAAATTCAAAACTATATTTTCAGCTGTTTCATAATGTCTGTGTTTTATTTCTGCATGAAAAAAATTCTGAGTTTAGATTTAAAATTTTTGTTATATTAAAAAACTACTTAATCAGAGAAGTTACAATCCCCAAATAAAAAACCTTCCCTTTCTATTAACACAATATCATAAATAGTTAAGAGGAAGAAATAAACTTCATGTTATTTTGCAAATGAAGAAAATTAATTAAAAACTGAAAAAAGAAATCAGATGTTTTAAATATACCAGAAAGACCAGTATTGTTAAGTGAGATGTCATGATAGTTTTTTCAAATATATTATTTAACTAGAGAAAGGGCTATAAAATGCAAAATTAGTGTCAAAAGAGGTGGAAGAAGTTCGGAAAACATGAATGAAAAATGCAAAATAAAAAAAAAAAAATGTGCTGATAAAACACTACTTTATTAACTTCTGAAACAGTTTTATTAATCTGTTATTCATCTATGAATAATAATAAATATCATAAACAATTATCTTAGGAAATAAACATGGTATTTACTTGAGAAATTCTTAGGAAACCTGTTGTATTAATAATATTTAACACTTAATGCTTTAAAACACTAATCACTGCTACTTTGATTTCAGAAAATTCTTGTATTTGGACAAGCCCCCTCAACATCAACAAAACAAATCTTACGAGAATGCATATTATTAAATTAACTCAAGTTGCAAAAGCTTTTGACTGTTGGATTGCTCCTAAAATTTAATTCAAGTCTGGCCTTAGCAAATCCACAGAGGTTTATTTTGTTAACAACAGTCTCTCGCACTCGAGATAAAAATGTTTTTTTCACATAGTGTTGCCTCTGAGTTTGTTAATCAAAAATTCATTTAACAAAATATAAAACAGATAATAAAACAAATTCGAAATTCAAAATTTAGGTTTCCAGGTGCCCATGTTCTGGATGAGAACTACAATAGTCAAAATTGGATGGCTCTAGGAACCATTGTTTTTTCAGTGTGAAAAGCATGTATACATTCATGTAGATTCTTAATTATTTTATTTCTTTAAATATAATACAGGTTGATGATATTTGGTAGCCAATGATTTAAAGTGATACACCATTTATAGATTTATAGTGATTAAATACAAAATGCAGTTTCGAAACTAATATACCACTTGGGCTAATGTCCCTTTCGAAATAAAAAAAGGAGGGAGAAAGAAATAACACATCTAATGAAAATATCCATTTGTTTGTTCTGAGGAATTCTTGTAGGTGAAGCCCAATTACTTCTCATGGCAAATCATTATGATTGGGAAAACTTTATACAGAAGTTTCCTTAATGGCAGCTAGAAGTCATTTATTCCAATTCACACAGTTGCAAATTTGGTCAGACTATATGCAATTTATATAAGCTTGTTGAGATTGTAGCCACCAATAATGATAATCCTGAAAAAGATTATTCTAACACCAGAAGACAGTAGATAATGAAATGCCCTCTTAAAATTCGTTGTGGCAATACTATAATTGGCATAATGTATGATATTTTCACAGCAAAACCTTTCAAGTGTTTTCTCTAACACAATAACTTAAACAATACAATTAGCCACTGCCAAGTCTTCTGAGCTGCCCTTCTATACTATCTAAATGTAGGATTTTCTAAGGAAAATTGCTATGTATTCATGAAACACACACAGAAAAAGATGAAACCATCCATGAAGCCAGTTTGTTTGCCTGGACTCAGGCTGAAGCACCAGCTTTCAACAATCATAACTGCTCAGCAAGTGGTAGGGCTGCTACCCTCCAGAGATGTCATAACATATTTTAATATCCTTGATTTGATACTCTAAAATAGCTAGAGTTTTTGATAGGTGCTGCACCTTACATTCCTTGCTAGTAACATACAGAGGACTTAGTAATTGTTACAGAATAATTGTTACAATATTGTTACAGGATCCATAACAACCTTCAGTTAAATCAAAATATTTTTTCATTACATTATAAATCAGTGCAAGATATCCTTATTTCACTTACTCTTACATATATTCACTACAAAATTTTATTACATTTTGGGCCAAAACTCTTTTCTCCTCCACCTTGAACAAAAACTAAAAATTCTGAGAAAAGGTAATTTTTTCACAAAACAAAGTTTGAAAATGCATTCTTAGAGATTTGAAGGGATTAATAAAAACTTACCAACAATTGGTTCATCAATTTTTGCTAAAGAACTCATCAATTTTGCAGGTTTACTAGAAATTTTAGTCTGTTCACTGCTCTTCTGAGCTGGACCTTGAAAAAGGAGATGTTGAAATTTCATACAGAATGAATTCAGATAAAAATTACTTCTTCAAAAGTGAAGGAAAACAAAAGTTTATAGGAAATAAAATACTTACTCATAGCTTGCTTTCTCATGTTCTAAAAAGAAATAAGAAATTTCACAATCAAATATACAAATACACACATCACATAAATAAATGAATACCTGTTACAATAGAGAACAGTGTATTTCATTCTCTATGTCAGAAAACAAGGAACAAAGTACAACCATCTTTATTGAAAGTGGTGATGATTTTAGCATAATTTTATAATGTAAATATATGCACTAAAACATTTTTGCAAAGTTTGCGTGTGAGACAGAAAAATTGCAAATAAATAAAATGCAGAAGTTTTAGATAATTTTTCATATTTCTCAAGTCATTTTCCCCAAAATAGGCTACTAATGACTATAATCGGTTCAGAGTTTTCTGAATAATAAAATAGGGCAGTTAAAATACACAATTTTTTTTATAGAACTTTATGAAAAATATGTGATTGTTAAGATTTCACAGAAAAAAATAAACATCAACAAAAATACTTTTTTTAATCACCAAATTCACATCCAAATATTTTGCAATAAGAATTTCACTAGAAAATAATATGAAAGGTGACAGAAAACTATTAAAATTAAAAGCATTTTAATGCATAAAAGAGTTTTCACAGAAATAATACCCAATAATTAATAAACTATTAGACAAAGTACATGTCAACATTTGTTAATAATATTTTGATTAGCTTGCCTATTTTTAACAGTCCCTTCCTAAATTTAAATCGTATAAAGTTAAAAATGAGCTTTTGAATTAGTAATGAACAAATAATTTATGATAACACAATGATTTTTATTCATAAAATTGCTTTCTTTATCAAAAATAGTTTCCCTGATAATAAAAAAAAAGGAAAAAAAAGGGGGGGACATGATATTGAAACAAAGTAAACATTTTCTTGCACAGCACTATAGGTCAAATGAGAAAAAGAGGCCTACTTAATAAAAATCTGAAAAATATTTTACATTTGCAGTTATCAGCAGCAGCATGATCTCTACACAAAGAGATTTAAAAATTTTTAGGAACAAGTTTACTTTTACATTTTGGTAGGTTAAGTTTTATTTGGGATCTTTTGTAAAAGAATCCAGTTTTATTCATGATAAATGCAGACAGGAGGTTGATGTATGCATTCATAAAAAACTGAACTACAGACAGTTGACATGCAAATGTTATCAGAAGATATCTGCAAATGATGATAATTTCAGCACAAATAATGATATAGGGCTTGTTCAAAGCATATGACAAGAATGTGCCTGCAATTATTTAAAAGGACTAATTATCTCATTCATGGCAAAGTTTAATACCAACTTTGTGCTTTACTGCATATTGTATACAAAGATGCTTCGAAATGCACTCAACTACACTAACAACTGCTGGATTTAAAGAGTAGCAGCACCATGGGCCTAACAGAAGAGAGATGCTAATTCAGAAGTCAAACAAAAAAAATTTTGCAGCTGAGGATAGTAGTTCGGTAAAACCATCGAAACTAGTCCTGTGAAAATTTTGTAAATATAATGCTGATTTTTGTTGTTTGACTTCTGAATTAGTATTTATTCGGCATGTTATTGTGTCTTCAGAAGAGAGATGTTTAGTAGATATTTCAGCCACCATCTTTGTTTGAGTAATAAGATACTCAGCAATACTTAATGCAATACTCAGTGTTGGTAAAAGTAGAATACAGAAATAATATGAAAGGTGACAGAAAACTACCAACACAAGAGGCTCAGAACTTCTTGACGCACATATGCACAAAGAGGATTCTCGAATTAGAACATAAACTGTCATTCATCTGCAGTCATTTATCACCATATATCATTTATAATCGCAGAATATCAAAGAATCCTATGTGGAAACAATTAGCAGAAGACTGAATTAAGCCTGCAATGCTCGCATAGCATATTGCTACTTTAAAGATCGCGTGGCATCTTACAAATCCCAAATATATTTTTGCTGTACTAAAATATATTTAGGTCTTTCAGTTCAAATTTATGAATGCACAGGGATTATTGAAGTAACACACATATATTTGTGATGTCATATTACAAATACACGTAACAAAACTTCAGTTTACAGCGATACTTACTTTTATTCAACTTGCGCAAATGCAAACGAAAAATACAAGAGAAATTGTCTCATTTAGTTAGTTGCACAAATTAGCAATCAGTGCATATTTGCTGAGTGTGTTCTAAACATAGAAATTTTTTACAACTGTGGCAGTTGTACTTGGTGTACCTGTTCTTGGAACGGCCACATTCATGACATCTCTGCCTTTTAGTAGCTTGAGCCTCTTCTGTAAGTTGAATTGTACCCTCATCTAAGAAAAGGCTTTGATTATCCTGCTTGAGGTTTCTAAGTAATGATGAACACTGAGAACGTTTTCACAAGGAATTAACAGCTAGATTACGACCCAGAAGTTTTAAAAACTCACTACGTCTGGTGCTGATTGATAAGTTATTTGCATTGATATATTATTTGAGCATTTATAGCTGCTACATTCATCATCATACTATAAAATATGACCATAGACCATCTGTTCGTTTTCCTGGCGACATTGTAAGTGCTACACAATTGGTCAACAGTATCAACTCCTGATTTAGTTGTATTATAAAAGGTTATTAATCTGTGGCTTGCTTTTTTCACATGATTCATCAATTGCATCATCATGATGCATAGTGGAGAGTATCAGAACCACCTTGTTTTTCCTTAGTTACATTTTTGAAGCAAAAAATTAGCTAAATCTAGCGATGTAAATCAGTTGTCTACAGTTATATTGTGACCTGTTTCTGAGATTACAGAACTCGGTCGTTTCACAACATCTGCTGGTTTGTTGCTAATTTCAAATGGACCAGAGGCTGCTTGCAGCACATATTTCTAGGTTTACAGTGTAGTACATCTTAGCATCTACTAATGCAAATAATTTTATCCCATACTTATTTGGTTTACTAGAGATGTACTACCAGAAGAAACATTTTCTCCTAAAAGCTTCTAACTTTTCATCAACTGTACAATACTTTCCAACTGAATAAGCATTCTTATAAATTTTCCACAAACGAAGAAAACACATAAGGCACTAAATTATCAGTTTTCTTCCTTATCTCTCGTGTGTCCTTATTGTCGAATCTCAAACAATATAAAAAGAACCTAAATCGTTTATCAGACATTATTAGACGGCATAGCTCAATACCCATTTTATCAGAGTGCCATATCTCCTTGGTATTTGCACGATTGCCTTTTCTAGAAGCACAAATGTATAATATGCCTAGAAGCGCTTTTACTTCAATTATGTCAGTCAAATGGGCATCCCTTTCCTGAGAATAATTTTCCTGTACTATGGATATCTTTTCATTTGTGAATTTAACTATATTAGATAGCATGCCATTGTCAAAAAAACATGCCCAACATTTCTCTGGCGTTTGAGCATTCTTCATGACACCTTTTACCCCTGGTTAATGAGTGACAATATTATGTCGCCGAGTGCGTATATTTTTACATAGGCAAACGTTTCACCATTTTGATGATTTATTCCAGCCTAGGAAATAATTATCCGCAATATAATCATCACTATCGCTATCAATAGAGTTTATTTCTTGCTCAGTGTCTGGGTTTTCTTCTCTTGTTTCCACTCTATCTTCTTCTGTATCACTATATTCATCAAACTCATCACCTGATTCATCTTCTTCCATCAATTTACATAATACTATTTCTCCATCACATTCATTTGCCATACTGAATTTTTTCTGAGAAGTCATCTTGACATTAAAGGTAAGATAATAAGTAATAAAAACAATTGTTGCCCATAAAAATTATAAATATAAGAAGAAATACATTCTTTTTACATTTAGAATTAAATATATTCAAAAACAATTTCTTTTACCTATCACTAAACTGGAAAAAAAAAAAAAATACTATTACTAAGAACAGCTGTTGATAATAAAAATTAAAAATATTATAATATATAAATTTTAAAATACTTTACATATAGAATCAAAAACGGTCGCATGGCGTCTCCTAGACTCCAGCACAGCACATCGGCCTATAACCTGTTCCTCTCAGCATTAAAATGAAAATGGCATTGTTTCAATGATTTCTACTTATTTATATTAGTGGAGAGATAGGCAGATGGCAGCACAAGCTTGATTGCACATCCGTTTATAAAGCCATTAAAAAAAACATCCCTGGCATCTGTGGGAGCCACGCGAGCACTGCAGGGTTAAGCAATGATGTGCATTAAAATATGCTATTAATGACAGAGTTGTATGAACCAGTGTATCTGTCATTGTGAATAATGCCCAATAGCTAGCAACCATCAAATCTTGCTTTTTTCCTTACTCTTGATGATTTACACACACATACATGGAATAGGAGTAGCCAGGCTACCCGTACCACATTCGTTATGGAAAGGCACTTGCCATCACACCTGGCGAGATAATCAGATGAATTACCTCTTTGGGCAGCAGATCTCCTGTAGTTGCACTATAAGGCAACCTGATATCTTAAATACAATGAAAACATTATATAGCTGAGTGTACTGCTTATATGCTATTCAGAGAAACTAATGCTCAAACATACAGTTACAATTTTCTCAGCAATATCTGAAAATTTAATACCTTTCTGTAGCCATTTAGATACTAGCATATTCCAATAAATACAGGGTGTCCAAAAAGTCTTTCCCTGATTACATAAATTGATAACTCAGGCTAAAAGTAAGATACAAATATGAAACTTGTGTCGAATTGTTTACAAACTATCAAAATTTTTTTCTGTTTTAGGTTTGCAGTACGTATGTAGTGGATGAGGTGCAGTGCCCAAGAAGCCATGTTAACCAATCAGGAGAAGGCACAGTGTGTCCTGTGGTACCATGAGACACGATCATCAACCACAGTGCAGAGACACTTTCAGACAACATTTGGGAGGAATCCACCTGATGTCAAGAGCATTAAAGCCTTAAAGACTGGTATGAGAAGTTCAAGAACACAGGATCGGTGCAGACCTTCCTAGGTCTGGTCGACCTAGAACCTCAGCAGACAGGGTGGAAGCTGTGAGGCAGTCTTTTCTGCGAAGTCCGAAGAAATCGGTGCGCAGGGCCTCACGTGAATTACAGATACCAAAAAGCTCTCTCCATGAACAAACATTTATTGTTTCGTGCATACAAAGTGCAAATCGTTCAGGCCTTGTTGCCTAATGACAGTACACGTCGATATGACTTTGCGGTCGAAATGCTATCACATATTGAGGACAATGATGGTTATCTCAGACGAATTGCCTTTTCTGACGAAGCGATCTTTTTTGTCAGTGGAGTAGTGAATCGCCATAATGTGTGCATTTGGGGTTCACAACCCCCTGGGGAGGGCATGGAGTGCACCAGAGGCAGTCCAAAGGTGAATGTTTGGTGCGCGCTATTGCACAATCGAATTATCGGGCCATTCTTTTCGCTGAGTCATCTGCAGTGTATCTGGACATGTTGCAACAGTATGCTGTTCCTCAGCTTACCCCGATGTCTCAGCAAGACGGTGCACCGCCTCATTGGGGTTTGGATGTCCGTGCCTATCTCGATATGACCTTTCCTGGGCGATGGATTGGTCGTGATGGGCCAATGGTTTGGCCTCCACGCTCTCCTGACATAACCCCATTACACTACTTTTTATGGGGTTATGTCAAGGACGAGGTCTACCGAACACATGTACCAGATCTTGAAACCCTGTGGCAGTGGATAACCACAGTCGTCTAATGTGTGGACGGAAATTGAATATCGCCTAGATGTGCTACGTGCTACCAAGGTGCTCATGTGGAAGTTTACTGATGTGTGAAAAAAACTTTGATAGTTTGTAAACAATTAGACACCAGTTTCATATTTGTATCTTACTTCTAGCCTGAGTTATCAATTTATGTAATCAGGGAAAGACTTTTCGGACACCCTGTATATCTAGAATAAGCTAATATGGTAATTGCAACCTTCTCAAAATACCACTGAATGAACCAACTAACTTCTAAGTTAGATGCAGAATCTCCTGAAGAACATAAGCAGCTGATTCTATGCCATGATTTATACCTTCTTGTACAGTTGCTAAAGGAGAATTCCTCATTTACTAAAATAAAATCTTACTGCAGCCATCATTTCTTAATAAATGTCTTTCTTCATCAAAATTCCAATCATATGCAGTATCTTCTGAAACAATGCATATAAATGATTGTACTGGTTTTTTAATGTGTAATAAATATTACCAACCACAATAGGACTATTACAAATACACACAGTGTCCAAAACAGCAAAATTCTTTACCTGACATTTAATTTCAAAACTGCTGTCCTAGACATACATTTCGAATCACAAAATGCTTTCAATGAGGCAAACATTCATGTTTTGGCATTTTTAACATTTTTTTATCACCCCAGACAAGATATCTTGTCAGCAAATCTTCCAAGAATATTTGCCGAGGTATTAACAACAAGATAAATCATTCTTTATAAAGTTTTTCTATATTACTGCAGTGTGACCAGCAACTTAGTTGTTAAATTTTAAGCACATTCCAGTCCATATAATTTTATCTGTACAAAATTTACAAAAAAAAAAGGGGGGGGGGGTAAAATTTGACTCTAATATGAAAAAAAAAAATGACTGAGATATTTAATTTCAAAATTCACAATTTTTGATGTCATTTTCATTTATATTAAGGAGTCACTTCATAAATACAGTAGAATAATTCGAGGCTGAATTTTTTTCCCTGTTATATGCCATTCAATAATATTCTTCCGAGATATACTATATCTTTTAATTTATAATATTGTTACATTAGATATTAGATATGCTGAAAGGATTTTATGCAAATATTTTAAAAGTTTGCAATGCTAAAAGCACATTATTAGCAGTCTCATGCAGTTTTACTATCTTAGAATTTAATAATTGTGAAAAAAATTAAATATAAACTTTTTTTATTTTTAATTAATGCAAATAATGTTAATAGAGTAAATATTGAAGCCTGACAGTGTTTTTTATAACACTATAAATTTCTGTGAAAAAAATCTCCATGTAAACATATATATATATATATATATATTCATTTATATTTTTCATGATAATCTGTATAGAAATGCTAGTCACTTAATCCATTAACCAGGGGAACACATAAAAAGTTATGTTTCTTAATTTTTACAAAATGAATGTTTTAAATTTTAAAATATCAATGGTTGCACAATTAAAGGGCTGGTAAAAACTTTTGTGAACACTATGTACATATATGACATATATGTTACAAAATACTTATCGTTACTGGTAATACATATCTTCAATGAAATTTACAAAAGCTTTCCTAAATACTTCTGTGGAAATGCTGTCATTTTGCTGGTACATCCCAATTTACTTGAACTGACGAAACCAACTATAGTTTACTTTTATAGTATATTACATCTTTAGAAAGACAATAATTATTTGAAAATTGCATTAAAATCTTGACAATTTTACTGTTTCATTTGAAGCTACAATTGTTATTTTCACAGCTTTCCTACATTTCTTATTCATAATAATCAGCCACATAGGCAGAGATCTTTTAACATATTCTATAATTTGTTTAAAAAAATTGAATTTGTCTTCCCTTAATAATGTTCAAATAATATTCACACACTTTTCCTGTAATTATTACACAAGTTTTTCAGTATTATTTCATTAATTAAAAAAATTACCTTTAAATGCCTTTTGCCCGTAATATGTGCTTGCCACATATTTTTATTATTCATATGTGCATCACACAACTAAGGGGAAAAAAACAAAGACGCAGAATCAGTAAAAATTTTGAAGGCATGTATACATAAGATAAAAATTTATGATATATCAATGTTCAGTAATTTCTTATGGCATACAAGTTAAAATAAACTTCCTACACAAACTGTTTAATAATAATTTAGATAAATAAGTACCAATATAACTAATATTGAATTTTATTGAAAACATTACATTAATAGTAATTATTACAACTGAAACCATTCAGAATATTTATATTAAATAAACAGCAATTATTATGAATAAAATCATTTATTATACCTCAAAATGAACATCTAAAGGCAGGAAAAACAAAATGTGTCTTAATTTCCATTAATTTTTTATTAACCTTTTTGCATACATAAGCATTCTTTAAAGTGTACTTTTTAAGACAAAACCACATACTGCCAAACTGCAGCTAAATTTCTATAGATATGAGCCAGATTGGATTATTAGACTATGTGAAAGCAACAACTGCTTGTGGGAAGAGCTGCCTCTAAAAAGAAATGTTAAGAGAAGCTGATTTATTTACATCAAGATATAAGAAAAACCCATGAAAATTTTATAGTTATCCTATTCAAAAATGGGCTTAGGTAAAAAAAGAATAGAGTTTTGTAACTCTAGTTGCTTGTGCCCTGGTTAATTTATAAAGGCAAGTTAAATATAAAATTAAGAGCATTTTGTTATTAATAGTTACACTGAAACTGAATTTTCAAACATTTCATTGCCATCAATTTTCACTGCCATATTCAAATACTGCGAAATGACATAGGTGACAAGTGATTTTAAACTTTGGTTAACAAATCTGTCGAATATGTGCATGCAGTTTTCAAGTTAATTTCTTCATGATATATTTTAAATTGAGCCATTAGCATTGGACCTTTCAATGGCCCGTCTTCGTTGCATATCTGTCTGACCATTCGATCATCATTTTGTTATGATCCGTCACTTTTAGCATAAAATTATTTTTCTGTTATTCATTGCTATTGGGGTGTCTGAAACCACAAAACATTCATAAAGTTCCTTTTTCTGTTATGTCATATACAGTTTGACTTTCCAGTGCCATACTCCTTGCATAATATTGAGATGGATATACATATATCCATTTTCTGCAGCAATTCCACTTTTCCTTTAATGGACATTGAAACATGCTTTTGCTTTGCAGATCCTGTTGCAACTCCAGAATTAAAAACTCTTTTTGACATTATTGAAAGTTCAAACTTTATTTTCATAAAATTGCTGTAATTATAACAGCCTGCAAAAAACAATAAGCTGGATCAAATCGAAAAGTTAAGGAACAGTGTAATCTGCTATAAACTGAAATTCTTTGGAATGAGTAAAGTATAATTTTAGCCTAGCTTAACAGTGTCTGCTATCCAGTATTGGCTATGTAGTATGAGATTGGCGACGAAGGACAAAATGTTCCGTTAAATTTATCTATCGCGCAGAGACAATTAAGTCTGAATTGTATTAATTTAGTTATTTATTATACTTACACCTAATTCTTGCACATGCTTAAGGCTTATCCAAGTCCTGAATAAATAAATTGTATACGTAAGATTACTAGAAATTTTGCTGCCTGATGCAGTCTCTGCAGGTCTTAAATTCTGCTACCAAGTTCTAAGTTTTTGCCACCCCTTAATTTTAGGTCCCAGTGCTTTCCCTAAATCTTAAAAAATTATTATCCTTTAATTTTGGTACTTTGTGCTTCTTTAAATTCCAAAAATTTTGTCTTTCCTAAATTCTGCCGCCCGGTGTGGCTATACGAGCTCTGATGCCGGTTCTGGACTTATGGAAATAAAAAAAAAAAAAAAAAAAAATTGGTTATTCTTACTTCAAATAGCCCTAAATGTAATCTTTGGGCCTACAAATATCATTAACAAAATCTATTTTCAGCATATGGAAAGAAATTTTTGTTACATTTTCCCTCATCAACACTTAGCGCATTTAATTTAAATCTGTAATCATTGTCAAGCGTAATGTCAACATAAAAGGTTTCCATACTCGTTATTATTCAATTACTAATATAAAAAAAAAAATGTAGGCATCATTGCTTGAGTCATTACTTAAGTTGTCATGTGTTGATAAACATACGGTGATGAAAGCAAAATATAATAAATAATGATTCACCAGGTTACCGTCAGGGATACAAAATATTAGTAGTTGTAAAATCAACAATGTTTCTAGGTAGAATGTTTTGGTTCGAGATGTATGCCAAGCAGATACACAGCTACGGAGCAAAATTATCGATCAAGCAAATTTCTGCTAAAATGATTGTTTCTTCATTAATGAGGTATTTTATTAAATGCCGAAATGAAATTAAGAATCGTGATTCTACACGTTTTCTTGCAGGGAAAAAATCAAATGCATATGCGTAAAGCATTAAAAAAATTTTTGTTGATGGCTTTAAGGTGCAGATTTTGGATCATTCAATGTCCGGATCTCGCACTTTATACTGTATACAATTCCAGAAACTGCTGTAAAACTTTAATTTTAATAAAGTGAATAAATCATTTTTAAAGTTTTAAGTGGTGGCAAGGAACTCCATTGTTAATGTTATCAGATTGTTTATGGCGTCGAAGCAATTTGAGTGAAGTTAATTCAGAAGACTTGAAAACTGAAAAGAAAACTACAGAGCAGTTTGCATGTAATGTCACACCAATACCAGAACCAGTTCTTGATATAGAAAAGTATAGCAAATTGTCAAGATTGTAGCAAATTACGGATAAAACACTTTATACATAATACGAGAAAACTTGGTGAAAAGAAAGAAGGTTTCTTAGCAACTTTAGAACTGTCAGAAGCAGAAATTTATTGGCCAAAACTATCTAATCAAAATATTTTGAAGAAAGAAAGAAAGCAACTGCTTAATGATCAGCCAATAGCAAGGGTATCGAAACTTACCGAGTTCAATCCAGAATTAGATGAAAACAAACTGATATGCATAAAGACTGCAATTTTCAAAATGTGAATGAAAGAAAAACTCCCATGGTTAATTCCTGGAGGGAACAAGTATGCTAAACTCTTAATTATGGACGCACACAATAAGGTACTACATTCAGGAATAGCTGACGCACTGGCTGAACTAAGGAGCAAATTTTGGATTCTCAGAGGAAGGCAGAACATTAAAAATCTGTGCTCAATAAACGTTTAATATGTAGGCAATATAAGGTTCACCCTGCAGTGCAAGTCACAGCTCCGCTTCCAGCAGATCATGTTCAAGAATCTCCCCCATTCGATATGATTGGCATTGACTTTGCTGGCCCGTTGTTTACAATGAAAAACAAAGAAAAGCACTATATTTTATTATATACGTGTGCAGTTACAAGAGCCATTCATTTAGAACTAGTTCCTAATTTAAGTACAGAAACTTTCTTACTTGCATTTCGAAGATTCATTTCACGACGCAGAATATGTTCTACTATCTACTCCGATAACGTGAGAACTTTCAAAAGAGCTAATATAGAACTGAAGGAAATATGAAGAAAATTAACCATCAAGAAGTTAGAGGATTTTTCGGGAAAACTGGAATTCACTGGAAATTTATCGTTGAAAAAGGAGCCTGGTGGAGCGGCTTTTATGAACGTCTAGTGAAACAAGAAAATAATTGGGAAGTCATCTCTTTCAACCGAAGAACTGAGAACTGTCTTAACAGAAATAGAAGCCATGATAACTTCAAGACCGATTACCTATGTGTACAGTAATTCACAGGTGTTATCTCCTTTAAGTTCTTCACATTTTCTTGTAGGGAAATATTTGATTTTTTTACCACCGATAAAATATGATGCAAATGTTAGTGCAGATAGAAATAATATGATAAAACAATACAACTATCAACGAAATTTGTTAGATCATAACTGGAAAAGATGGAAAAGCGAATATTTGCTAAACTTAAAATCTGCAAACTGTATAACACCAACAAAGGTCACAGGAAACTTTAAGGTGAATGATGTAGTCTTGATCAAAGACAAGTTGCCTAGAAATATGCGGAACTTGGGCAAAATTGTGGAAATGTATACCGGACGCGATGATAAGATATGATCGTGCAGTGTAAAACTTAATCTGGTATTGTGAAACGACCAATACAACTTCTGTATCCATTGGAACTTAAAAAATAGACTATATATGCTGATAAAATACGACAATTTGAACTTCAACATTTCATTTAGAATTCTATATATTATTCTCATTATTATTAGTACAGTCAAAAGTCGTTAATTCGGACACCCATAATCCGGACCTCAAAGCTAAAAACTTTCTGCGCATGCGCCGCGTTGGCACATGCGCACAGGCGTTTTACACGTACACATAAGACCTTGACTACTGCGCATATGCATATGCGCAAGTGCAGAATACGTTTTCGCCTGCGCGTTTAATGTATAACGGACGGTGTAAGCTAAAATTATCTAATTATCTATTTCAGTTAATGTAGTAATGGATTGCGTTGCTTCCCTTAATCTTCGAAGTTTGATCCCGCTTATTATTTTTTGCAGACTGTAAGAGCAATTTTATAAAAACTAAACTTGAACTTTCGACTATGTCAAAAAGAGTTTCCAATTCTGGAGCTGCCAAAAAATCTACAAAGCGAAATCGTATGTTTCGATGTCCAACAAACAAAAAGTGAAATTGTTGCAAAAAATGGATAAAACATGAAGAATGTGACAGAGAGGTTAGTGAAAACGAAAAAATTTCGTTTGACAAGTTAGTCGGTATTCTCGGCACAGCAATTAACGGGACTTGAACAGCGGAACTTTGTAACTGAACAAGAAATTATGTCTGTTTATAAAATTAAAGAGAAAGTATTATCACATAAAACGAAGCAACTTAAACTTACATTAAAAGAAATGTTTAATAAAGTAAACAAATAAATATTAAGCCTTTTTTTTTGATACCCTTTAGATCATAATTGTTCTTTATTTCATAAATTACGGTTTCATATTTTTAATTTTAGAATTTCTGCATGCCATCTTACGAGATTTAAACTGATGATCTATAATCCGGAATCGCCGAAGTCCCGACGAGTCCGAATTAACGACTTTTGACTGTATTATTAGTTATTGTTTGTCATATTAATTGCAGTATTGATAATTAATTATTATTGTAATTGATAAGTATGCATTGTATAATATTGATTAGTTAGATTTAATTGATGAACTTGCAGTTCATGGGGGGGGGGCAGGATGTTAAAAATTGATAGCTCGTGCCGTTAGGTGGTGCTCTGAATGTCTTGTCTCTGTTGATATTCTGTAACTTTAGTTTGTTGGAAGATCGAAGGTGTTAAACCTAATAATGATGAAGGCATTTGCCTAATAATAATGCTTGTAACCAACGTATTATATTGTAAATAAAACATGTGTGTATTAATAAAGAAGCTGATTATCACTTACCTCTGGAATTAATGTTCTCTGATGGTAACAGTTATTACAAATGTCAAACCCCTCAAGCAATAGCGAAATGGAAGTTTACTGTACATATACAAAGAAGATAATTCTACAAGGTAATCAAAACAGTTTTTGCCATTTGTGATATGATACGGGAAGAGTGAATCCCCCCCCAAAAAATAGTTGCCAAACCTGGCGATGAAGTGGTTAGGATGGGAGTCCGGACACTAACCAAAAATATAAAAGCGCGTTGCATTGGTACTTCAAACATAACTTACACAGCAATTGATTGAAATGGATGTGTCAAAGGGGGCTCGTTCCAAGTCGTTTGCTGTAAAATTTTAAAGTGGGCCTTGTTAGCATCAGAATAAAGTCACCAAATTTTCTAGGCCTTTGGGGATGATGCCGTTAGCGAACAAACCACTAGGCAATGCTTCCAGAAGTTCAGGTCAAGGAATATGTCTCTTGGTGAAGCACCTCACAGTGGTCGTCCACAAGCGCTAGACGATGAGTCCCTGAGAGCAGCCATAGAGAATAGCAGTAGCCAAACGTGTGGTGAGCTTGTTACACACTTCTAGGTATCTGATGAAATGATCAGCCTCCAGTTGCCCTACATAGGAAAGGCGTACAAGCTGAGCAAGTGGGTACCTCACTCACTGTCCAATGCAAACAAGCAACAACGTGTCGTTGCCTGTTTGTCATTGCTTACTCGGCACCGCAATGCATCCGTATTTGATTGAGTACTCACCAGTGATGAAAAGTGGGTCCAGTATGACACACCAAGCATTTCAGACATTGGTTGTGACCACAGGAACCTGTGTCTCACACTGCGAGACCTTCTCTCCACCCATGCAAGATCATGCTATGTATCTGGTGGATTAGTCGCCAAGTGGCGCACTATGAGCTGCCAGTGGGCCAAACCATCACAGCAGGCCTGTAATCGTAGCAGTTGGAATGTGTGCATCTGATGCATAAAAAGCCAGCATTGGTTAATCGTAAGGGTGTACTCCTTCTGCATGACAATGCGAGGCTGCATGTGACTCAGGAGTCCAGAGACATCATCCAGCAACTGGGCTTGGTAGACAATACCCCCATCCACCATACTTCCCAGATCTCGCACCAACAGACTAGAACCTTTTCCATTCCCTTGACAGCCATCTTCATGAGAAATCCTTCAACAACCAGCTAGACCTCGAAAAGGCCCTCACGGACTTCTCTGACCGAGTGTTACCATGATCCTGTATATGAACAGCTAAAATATTTTCCCAATAAGCAATAAATGCACTACTCTTTTTTGATTACAAATTCTTCAACAGATAGACTTTATGCAGTTAATTTACATGGCTTTATAAATATTAAACATTGAATAAACTGACTTCTATAATAACTTTTAAATAAAAAAATAATAAATTTAAATTTTTGATTCTTAGAATTAAAAACTTCACAGTAAAATCTTAAAATATCAACAACATTTGGAATTACACTTTTTTTATATAAATTTAAATTAACAAATCAAAACCATCTTGGATAAATCTTAGATAACAGTTTTTAGATGAAATGATGAAAATACAAGTTCTCTGACTACCTGCAACTCCCCCTGCACCCCCGTCTGGAAACTATTTACAAAGCAATTGCACTATGCTGCCAAAAGTGGCAAAATGTCGAAGAGAGGAGGCCAAAAGAGGCAATGATGCTGCTAAAATATACTTTTATGGCAACACGGGTTATGCACACGTGCACAGCAGATGAGAGTTGATTTCTGCCTTCGAATTTGATGGCCATTTCTCTGACTAGTGTTTGTTTTTGTTGCATTTAATTATATTTTTTCTCCCTTGTATGGAATCATAATGGGAGAGTGAAATTTCCCACCTGATGAAAAAAGAAAGCATTGCATTTTTTTTTGAGAAATATGGTGTTTTGACCAACAATAGAGAATGCAAAATCTCATATGCCATGAAGGTGCACTACTTAAATAATTGAAATTTGTGCATGACGCCAAATTTGACCAATTCTCTAATGTTTTTTAAGTAAAAACAGATCACTGCGCACATGGGAAGAACAATGCCTCCTTCCAAAAAAAGAAGTGTTTCATTATGAATGCTTTTTGCATTTTTGATTTTTTACTTGGTTGATGTTTTATACAATTCTTAATGCACTGTTTTTGAAAAGGGCTACACGCTTCGCATCTTAGTTTGGTGAAAAATTAGTTGCTAACGGTTTGTGACTTTTCAGGAGGGAGATGCATATACTCAGCAAGTACCTAAATATATGAACTCAATAAGAATATTTTAATACAGAAATTTAATTTTTAGAATACAAAAATCACTAACTGCACAATAGAAATCTGGTCGAGATGGATCAATACCAGCTTCATCAATCATTTCATCATAACCTACAAGATATTTAAATAAGAAATTCATCAAGCACTGAATAAATTTGATTAGTTTATACTACATGTTAGGAAAAGATTCATTAATAATTATTTCTTACAAAACATAATTTAAAAGTTACATTACAAATGAAAGAGAAACAGCATATACTATTTTAAATATTGTAACACCAAATAAAAAACTGCTTTCAATTCCTCTCAATAATAATAATAATAATAAAAACATCATAATAATCAAGTCATTATTCAGTTTTAAGATTCTACAGCAAACAAAATTGATTCAGTTCCAGATCTTACAAAGTTCCAAACTAATAACATGCTATAAATATGCAAGATTTGTATAACAAAATAATTATGCTGCTTAATCTTCTACGTTAAGATCTGATTTCTGTATATATTAAAAATATATTTAATGTATGAAATAAATCTGAATTGGCAGATGCTAGAAACAAAAATCGAAAATTTGAACTCGGTACAAAATCAAAATTCATAAGTAACAACTAATAAAATCAATCAAGCAAATTTTCAGGACAAGTACAATGAAGATTATAATAAAGATTTAAAAATTGACTAAATACATCAAGATTGGAAAGGTGAGAAATGTAATGCAAGACTTCTTTTGCTATTGAAATACAGAACATTCCAGTGAAATCTATTGCATAGATAGTTTTCTTTTTGAGGTTTGTCTGAAAAAAGCAGCAACAATACCAGGGATGGCCAACACATGGCTCTTTGAAAGATTATTTGTGGCTCTCGATAAATGTACCCAAGTTCCCTTTTCATTTTTGTGTTATATTTTAAAAAATTATTATCATTCCGTATGTGTTTCAAAATGTCTTTTAAATTACTGGCAACAAATATGAAAGACTAAGCGTAACGTTGTAACAAATTTCATTTCTGTCCAAGTTAAGAATAATATGCCTCATCGAAAACTGCACGAACAAACGTAAACAGTGGTGTAACAGTTCCATTCGTCGGATTTTCTTCCCCTTCGACTGCCTAGTGAATTATAAGAAGCATATGGGAGTCAAGGCCTTGTCTGGCCGATTGCTCCAAAACAATCTACGTAATCGACAGACTCAGATTAATTTTGAATTTGTAATCTTTCATTGTAACGGACAGTTGACATTGTGCTCTGCAGGAAACAATTTGTATCACTCTAGCTATGGATATAATTTGTAATCTGGAATTTTTGGTAAGTTAATTACAATTTGCTTCATATAATAACACGTTGTTATTGTTTTAATAACACAAAACTTGTATCTCTAAATGCATTTATTTATTTCCAGTTCTTTTAAAAATATGACAACAGAGAACGAAAATAAAAAAAGAAAATAGAATAATGTTCTAATAATGAGTGGGAGGAGAATTTCTTTTTTATTGACAATAACGAAAAAGCATTATGTGTTATTTATAATTCTACGGTCAAAAATTACATCGACATTATGAAAGCAGTCATCCTCAGGTTTCTAATCAATATCCACCAAATTAAGATCAGATAAATTTGCTTCTTTAAAATCAAGTTTAAATACACAACCGTCAATTTCGATTACCTTTAACAATCAAGCCAATAATGTGGCTGAAGACAGTTCTGTTATTACCTGGAACATTGCTCATGCAAAGTGCCCATATGGAGAGGGAGAGTTTATTAAAAAAAAACTTGGAAGATGTACTTAAAGTTTTAGATCCAAATAATACAGCATTGCCCAAAGTTGTTTCGCAAATTCCCAGCTCGAAACTTACAACCGAACGACACATAACTGCAATTAATACATCTCTTGAGTATAATTTAAAAAATTATTTGAAGAACTGTATTGCATTCAGCTTAGCCCTTGACGAATCAACAGATATTACAGATCTTCCACAATTGGCAGTTTTCATATGTTTTGTTTCACCTGACTTTGTTGTTAAAGAAGAATTATTAGATTTAGTTGCACTTCAAGAGTCAGCTTGCGGTGTCAATATTAAAAATGCATTAGATTGATTCCATAATGAAAACTTTTGATGTGCCGCTAAATAAACTTGTAAACATTGCAACTGATGGAGCTCCGGAAATGGTGGGTAAAAAAATAAGTCTTATTGGGCTTTTAAGAGATGATTCTCAAATTTCACAATTCATACCGATTCACTGCATAATTCACCGAGAACATCTCATTACAAAATATTTAAAATATCCTGATGTTATGAAAATAGTGTTACACATTGTAAATCACATTCGTACCAATGCAAAAAATCAACGGCAATTCAAAAATTTCCTTGAAGAATTAAAGGTCAAAAAACTTCCAAATGACATTAATTTCTTTTCCATTGTTAGATGGTTATCTAGCTACAACATATTAAATCAGTTTGTAGATTTGATCCGATAACTGTGTTTCTAAAAGAAAAGGAAATAACCTATTCAGAATTAGACAGTGACGAGTGGTTACAAGACTTAATGTTTTTAACTGATGTTATGGAACATTTGCAAACACTGAATTTACAATTGCAGAGGAAGGATAAAATATTTAGTTTTCAAACTAATACACAAACTAAATTACAACTTTTTCAAAAGGAGATTAAAAATAAAACATTTTAGCATTTTCCTTGTTCCAATATTAAACAAGAAAAACTCAACAAGTATATAAAAATGCTAGAAGGAATACTGACAGAATTCCAAAATAGATTTCAAGACTTTAAATATTTTAAATCATCTCTTGATTTTTTTCTGAATCCATTTGAAATTAACACAATTCAAGGTGAGTTTTCCATTTCCAATATAATTATGACCCAAAAAGCATCTGGAGAATTAGAATAGAGATGCAAGAAGATCAAGCTCTACAATTAAAATATAAGACAACGTTGACTACTGAATTTTGGAAATTTGTACCAGAATTAAAATATCCTGAATTAAAAAAGGCTGCTTGTCAAATTATTTCAATATTTGGAACAACGTACTTATGTGACTCATTTTATTCCACTTTAAAATTCATAAAATCCAAACACCAATCAGTATTAACTAACCAGCATCTCAAAGAATTACTGAGAAGTGCTGTCATCAATTATTCACTAAATTTTAAAGAATTATCGAGAGAAGTAAAATAAATGTGTTTAATTTTTAATATTTAAATTCAATACACATATTTTGGACTTTTATTTATGTTTTCAATAAACATAATTTCTGTAAAAAAAATTTTAATAACTTTTTTTGCATACCTTTTAAATATGTATTTAATTGCGGCTCGCAAAAAATTTCAAATTTTGAAAAATGGCTCGGACTATCAAGGAGCTTGGCGAACCCTGAACTACAAGAACTACATAGAGTCAAAAAGCAATATAAATACAATGAATGCATTCATTATACAGAGTATTTTTTTTAAAAGGAGGTTGGAGTTTATACCTTTAAATATTAATTTTAAAAATACACTTTGAATTTTAAAATTTAAAAATTATTTTTTTAATTAGACAAAAACATTATAATCTTGGAAAGTTAAAGAAACATTCAATTTGAAATTTAAGATAAAGAAAACAGTGTGCTACTATTAAATTTTAGAATGAAGTATTTAACAAATTGAATTAATAAAATTATACATAAAAATGTTACTCTTTAAATTATGAAAAACTGAAAAACAGAGATTGAAAAATGCATATTAATTATTCATATTTTAATGCTTCAAATCAACTCATCAGTGAGTAATAATTTAAAACATTAAAATTGAAAACACTTTTCATGCCTCTTGATTAGTTAAGTGCAAAAACAAAAATTATAAAATTGAAACAACAAATTATGCTCAAAATTCTAAACAAAAATAATTACCCCCTTCTCAAACAGCCAGAGCATTATCCCAATATTTCAGTTTTCGAAAACTTTAAAAATAAAAAATCACAAATAATTTACAATAATACAATAACAAATACAGTCTAAAATGAAAATTCTAGATTAAAATCCTGTCATTACACAAAAAAAAAAAACCCTCCCCCCAAAAATTATAAAGCACAAATGAATCATAAAACTTATCAATTTTTCCATGTAATAATGTTTGCCATTTTGTCTGAAAGTACTTTAAAAACTTATATTTTAGTTGAGAAAATATAGCAAAAATTTTTAATTCAACACTCTATAAGAGTAAAATTCCCAAAAGGATTAAAATTAAATATAAAGGAAAACTTAACAAGGTTTTTTTGAATGTAGCAAAAATGATGTAAAACCCAGAATGTTTTTGATGAAAATGGTGAGGGTATATTTTGGCATTCAAACTGGGAAAGTGGTACCAGATGCAAGGTTATCATTTCTGGTTTTATTTATTTCACTAAAGAGAAAATCCGCCCAGGTCATACATATTGTTGCATTCAACGGGTTCGTGGATTTGAAGTACCGTATTTGCCAGCGTATAAGATGCACACCCGTTTTTTTATACCCATTTTTGAAGGATGAATCTTTATTAATGATCATTATAAAGAATTTACAGGATTTTAAATATAAAATAATACAAAGTAATACTTTCTGCAAATACCCAATCTATCTGGGAAAAATACCTTTCAATCTTCTTCGTCAAAACAGAGACACTCATCTTCAGAGCTAAATGAAGAGTCACTTGAAACCTCTTCTAAACCTCATACAACAAATTGTCCTCTGTACCATCTAGTGCATTACTAATGCCACACTTCTCAAATGATTTAACCACTATCTCTGCTTTCACAGCATCCCATGAAGCTTTGATCCATTCAAATACTTGCGAAATGCTAGGCCTCTTCCTTCTTGATGATGGTATAACCTCAAAATCTGAAGACTGCATTTAGCTGTTCCACTTCTCCTTCATAAATCTCTTAAATGATTTATTAATGCAGACATCTAAAGATTGAAGCTGACTAGTTAGGCCTCCTGGAATTACACCTAATCGAGTTTTCAATTCGTTGAGTTTTATTTTTTAACATTTTCTGCTCTGTGAGAACGAAAATGATCCCGTAATAGTAGAACAGGTTTCTTCAACAGTCCGCCAGGACGCCTTGACCAGATTTTATCTGTCCATAACTTTATTCCTCCTCCATCCATCCATCCATCTAGCCTTTTGTGTGAACATGTATAAGCACTCCTTTAGGCAATTTTTCTTTGGGTAGTGTCTTCCTTTTAAAAATCAATAGAGGAGACAATTTTGCCCCATCAGCACAGCAGGCTTAAACAACCATGTAGTGAGTTTTTTTGTGCTTTGAAGTTTTAACAGTAACACTTTTTGTAACTTTATAATTTACAATTTTGTTTGAGGGCACATCAAAAGTCAGAGGAACCATTATTTATGTTTCCTATTTGTGCAAGTTCAAAATTTTCTTGCTTTCATGCATTAATGATGAATCAATGAAATTCAATAATTTTTTCTTCATATTCGTCTGGCATCTTTTGTGATATTTTTGTTTTAGTCTGCATACCTAGCTGGTTTCTCTTCATGAATCTTGAACACCACGATGATAATCCAGTAAAATTGGCAATCTCTCTAACAGTCACCATCGCTTTCGCTTGGAAAAAAATCCTTTTTATAAAGACTGAAAGCCCAGCTTTTCTGCGGTCTAAAATCCAAGTATTCATCTCTGACTCAAGTTCAGGCCCTTGTGTAGTTCCATTCATAGGTTATGTTTACTGTCACTCGCTTTTTTTAGAGCCTCTTCCTGATTCTGCCAAGTTCTTATCATTTTCTCAGTTGGGGGTGACACGAAATGCCTCTCTGCAGCCCTGTTTCCATGTTCTTTAGTATACACAATCACACGTAGCTTGTATGCTATGTTATACCAACGCTGATGTTGTTTTTGAGCCATGACATGCTAACAAACTTAAGAAAACTGAACAGCAGAAATTTCACACACTTAAAAGTTGTTCAAAAAAATTGGACAGTTTAAATGAACCCAGCTGTTATTGTCGATGACAGTGCATGCACATTCACTGAACTTTACATAACTATAATATACCCACACTCCGCAAGGAAAAAAGAAAAAAAATTCATAACTCCGAATAGAGGAAATTTCCAGAAATTAATGTAAACAAAAATTGAGTATCGATGTATAAAACGCACCCTATTTATCAGACCTATTTTCAAAGAGAAAAAAAGTGCATCTTATATGCTGGAAAATACAGTAATTGACAATAACACTTGATAAATAATCAAAACTTCCCCCCCTTTTTTTTTCTGCCACAGGACAATTCCAAAGTCATGTTTAGATTTATCAAAAAACTATGATAAACACACTAAAACAATCAGCAATACAGCCTTCAGATTTATAACGATGAATACAGCTTCAAAGCACTAGAGTACAGCTTTCGACTCAGTTGATTGATTGCTCTCAAGATAATCTCTGAGCTCAAGACACTCTACACTACTCTGTGTACAAGCAGGATATATATAGCTTTAACCTAACTTGAATGTTCCCGAGAAAAACCACTATGAATGCCTTCTAGAATGTTCTCCGTCTGTCTATAATATAACACAAATTTTGTCACCAAATATTGCCAAATGGGCAATTTAACGAAAATCTGGCAACCCTGCCTTTCCCTGCCATTTTCTGGCAATACTAATCCCGCTTTGAGGGAAACTATTGCACCACAGCTAGGCATTTCACAATACTTCTCCCTCCCGGGGACTGCACATTCCGGACAGAACAATATCCTAGGTTAGAAGCCAAATTCAGTACAAACAAAACGTAACAAAACAAACAAGGTTAATAAAGATAAAAGAAACAAATGTTTACACTATTATACAGAATCATTACTGGTGACGAGTTACATACTGCGTACATGCTCGATAGGATTTAGATTCGGAGACCTTGCTGGCCAATCCATGCGTTCAATATCCTCACTCTCCAACAGATCTTTGACAGTAACTCTGCGATGAGGTGGAGAATAGTTGTCCATGAAGAGGAACTGAGGACCCATAGCACCTCGGAAAAGATGCACGTAAGGAGGAAGAATCTCATTACAATAGCAGATGCTGGTGACTGAATCTTCTGGTAGGTGGGAAGGTCTGTACCAGCTATGAAGCATGATGCCTCTCCAAACAAGAACTCCACGACCTCCAAACTGGTCTCTTGATGATGTTGGAGGGGTTTGGGCATGTTCGTCTGCCTTCTCCAGATATGCAAGTGCCTAAAATCGCTACTCAGACTAAATCTGCTCTCATCCTTAAAGAGTACTCAATCCCACCGATTATCTTTCAAATTCTGGTGTTCTTTGAACCACAGAAAATGCCTTCTCCAATGAGCAGATGTTAATGGATACACTTTAAAGGTTGTTATACAAACAGATCACAACTGTGCAGCCTCCTGGGCCATGGTAAAACATGATATCATTGTCCAATTGCCTGTTCCATGTGTCTTAAGATTGATCTTGCCATCTGCCACCTATTGCTTTTTGCCTGTAATGCAATATACCGGTCGTCTGCTGCTGTGGTTGCTCATAGATGACCACTGCTGAACTGTTTCTTTAGTTTGAAATGCTCTCCAAAGTCATAAAACGATGCTGTGTGCAATCCCAAACTCTGCAGCCACACTTTTTACCCTTCGACCTTCCTCAGCCTTTAAAACGATTCAACCTTTGCAATGACAATAAAAATCACCCAGATATCATCTAACAGATTGATTGTTCAACATTTAACACAGCAACTCAACATTGTTTAAAATGATATACACCATGCAATAGCTTCCCAGAAATAGAGCTCACGCTGCCAACAATCTTTATACCCTTTCGAACACTCCCCTCATTATGTCTTGCTGCATTATATGTGCATGTGCTACTGTACCTGACCCTAGTCAATCTCCTGATTGTCTTACAGTCTGCTTTGCCTCTTTGTTCCACCAATAAGCTATTTTTCAACTCCGTTCTTAATCTTTGCACACCAATGTACACACAAACACATTTTTAAGGAAATAAAGCCCATACTTTAAAAACCAGGTATAAAGTAAAATTAATAATATTTTATACTCCACAAAGAATACTTAAAGACCTAACAACAGAAAGACTAGCATATTAGCCTGATTTACAGGAAAACAGTTAATTAATTTATTTTATGACAAAGCATGCAAGGGACTAGCTTAGGATGGATGCCAAATGGCCTGTATTGATACTATAAGTAACTCCTCCCCAAAAAAAGCCAACCAAGTTGTGGGGAATTAAACATCAAGTCACTGAAAATACAAGTGATGGAAAGTATATGAGGATAAGTAGGAGCCTCTTTTAAACTCCCTTTCATATTACTTATCATATATCTCATTATAAGCACATAAAATATCTTTCAAATGTGTCTTTAATTTCTATGACTTTTCAAAATAAGTCATATTCTTAAAATTTTCATTTTCTGAAAATTTGACTACTGAGGAATGCACTAAACAGCATGTAACAGTATATATATACACTCTGTCACAATATATATATATATATATATATATTCACTTGGCAGAAATCGAGCCAAAAGCATGAAAATTGGCTGGAATGCAGTCTGGTAAGAGGCAATGATTTAAATTTCAATGCAAATGAGACAAGGATAAGTGTGCTATGATGTATGAGATTCACAGCTGGGAGAGTTTAGAAGCATGATTGCTTGTTCCATAAGGCTATTTAAATAAATCTGTCAATTTGGATGGATGGTACTGTGACTAGAGATGCCTCTGAGATGTAACCGCCGGCACTCCGAGCAGTTACTGGACTTTGAGAAGAAACACATAGAAAACAGGTTGGTTGAATAGGTGTATTGGCTGCCTCCTCAGTCACAGCAATATTAGTAGCTGCTCGGTGTTGGCGACAATGGATCACGGAAAGGAAAGCCTACTGTAGCGGAGAGTCAGGGCGTCCAAGGAACATAAATGAGCATTGTGTAATCATAATAGTGGCCACTTCCGCACTAACTGTGTTGCTAGCATCAATTATGTCTCATTTTGCCTTCGAACATCAGAAGAATTAGTAATGGAAATAAGTGTAATCAATCCCTCAATGAAACATCTCATTATAACACAAACAGTTTATTTACATATGCAATAAAGTTACAGTTCTAGTTTAAACATATCAAAATATAAATTACGTAAGATAATACTCATTAATTTCTCAAAATACATGTGAAATGCAACTCGAAGCCATTTTTCTCCTTTTCTCATAAAAAGAACGTGTTCAAAACGAAAATATAAACAACTCCACGGTTGGCATACGTAACTTTCTAAATTACATAAACAAAGATAATATTAGATAGAGGTTCAGCCTGAGAGATTATGTGCTGTCATTCTAGTAATATCATGAAAAATACTGGTCTTCTTAAAATCATTTAAAATAATCAAGGATGGACAGGAAAGTAACTACAACAAGCTGTTGCCAATTCTTAAAAGTCGAATTAAGAGTTCAAATCTATGTGGTCTTTACAACTACGTTTCTATTCTATTACAGACTGTTATTACCCTTTTGAAAAACAAGAAGTATCAGTATTTAATATTACTATGTACATTATACAACAAATTATAAATGATAAATTTTAAAAAAATACACAAAAGATGTATGTAAGTGAAACATATTTGTATGCAAATTAAAAAATTCCTTTACAAAGTTGTTAAACATACTTGGTTCAGTTTCCTGCAATTCTTCTTCTACACGAACGACTCCTCTTCCGTGGATGTGTTCAATTCTTTCGAGTGCCTCCCTTAAAACTTCCTCAACATGAGAGCGTTTTCGGTCCTTGAGTCTTCTATATGTAGAATATTCATAGCGTTCCTATAAAAATTTTAGAAATGAGATGAGATTCAAAATTCTATATATGGCTTACACAAAAACATAGACTAATCACGAAAAGTAGAATTACGATAATAAGTGATTGCTTAATCCATTGTTTTTTGAAGTAAAAAAACAAGTTTGATTTTTCAAAAAATTCAATATGGCAGATTTCATGGTAATATTTACACAGAAATTTCTTAAAAAATTAATGCTATATTTACAAGATTCTACAGCGCTTCCTTTATAATAAACATGAGTTTTTTTGTTTCGGATAAATTCCTATTTTTGATGGATATTCCACTATCTTTTTTAATTAATTTTCAGTTTATGTATTTGATATGGGCAAAAAATTTCGTTGTCCGTAGCTTTACAGACACTATTTTGCATCTTAAAAATGCACTTCTGAGTCTCATGCAAACAAAACGGGGGGTAGCAAAGAGAAAAGGATTAAAGGACAGAAATTTTGTTTTAATGAATCAAAAAGTTTAATTCTAGCATATTTTGTTAACTACCAGTAGCCTTATTAACCAACTGTCTATTTGTTTAATATAACAGCAAAATTAGAACTGAGATACAAAATCTTATAGCTGAATTTTCAAAAATAATGTATTCATTTATTTTTTCTCTTGTTTAATGGCATAAACAAGGTACAAGGCATAAACAAGGTTTAATGGCATAAACAAGGTAAATATTTCAAAATGTTTTGAGAACAGAGTTCTTTCTCAGTAGAAGGAGGGAGGTAATCTTTTATCATTTTCCTCTCCAATATACTTTCCCCCTTAATACTGACAATATTTTCTTTGCATATGATTCATATTAAAAAAATAGTTTGTATTTAAGATAAACTGTTAAACTCAATAAATCTTAACAAAACTCTTAAACTGCAATTGTTATTCTGTTTTTTCCTTTATACAGAAAACATCTAAATGCAAAAATTAAAAAGGGAAAAATATAAACCAAAGACATGATGAATAATACATGAAATTTTCTAATCCATATACTTTCACACCAAGGTAAAAAATCTACTGTATAATGAAACATATACAGTACAAAGTCTTTAAATCTACAGAAAGTTACAAAGTCTTGTCGGGACTTCAGCGATTCCGGATTATAGATCATCAATCTAAATCTAGTAACTTGGCATGCAGAAATTATCAAATTAAAAATATGAAACCGTAATTTATGAAATAAAGAGCAATTATGATCTAAAGGGTATGAAAATTTATAAAAAAAAAAGCTTAATATTTATTTGTTTATTTTATTAAACATTTCTTTCAATGTAAGTTGTTTAAGTTGCTTCGTTTTTGTGCTGATACTTTTTCTTTAATTCTATAAACAGACATAATTTCTTGTTCAGTTCCACTGTTCAAGTCCTGTAATTGCTGTGTCGAGAATACCGACTAATTTGTCAATCGAAATTTTTTTGCTTTCAATAACCTCTCTGTCACTTTTTTCACTATTGGAAGTGGTTCATCGAAACATGCTCTTGCTTCGTAAATCCTTTGGTAGCTCCAGAATCAGAAAATCTTTTTGACATAATTGAAAGTTCAAGCTTACTTTTTATATAACTGCACTAACAGTCTTCAAAAAATAATAAGCCGGATCTAATTAGAAGATTAAGGAACAAAGCAATCTGCAACATTTAACTGAAATAGATAATAAGATGAACTTTAGCCCAGCTTATACCATCTGTTATACATTAAACGTGCACGCGTAAACGTATTATGGGCATGTGTAAAGGTATTATGTGCATGCATAAATGCATATGCATCCGCAGAATGTTTGTAGCTTTAAGGTCCGGATTATAGATCATTCCGGCTTATGGACATCCGTATTTAAAACTTTGTACTGTATAATAACACACATATATAATGAAAATATAAATTATTTATATAAAATAAATCTGCTTAGAGAAATCTCTTAATCAGGGACTTGCAGGAAATACAGTGTGTTCACCCCTCTTTTAAAGATACTGCCAGATGAGAATAAGGACAACAAAACAGCTAGCTACAAAAACTTGCATTTTCTGCTAAAAATATTCCTAGCATAGTAGAGTATATTTTAAAATTGTTTAATCAACCTTGCCACAGACCCTTAAACACATTCATTCTACTTTCCAAACTCTTAAGGTAGTATATTGCTTTCAACATGCTACTTGTACTTTCCTTTAATTCTACCTAAAGGAAACCGAACAGCTGAAAACATCATTTTAGATATAATTTATTTATATAAAGACCTGTTCATTCACAGTCTGCAGTCTAAATAAGGCTTAAAAACGCATACAATTTTCATACTAATTTAGATTAAATTTTCTGAAGTTTGAAAAGAAACTTCATAGTTTCTTTTCAAATTTCAGACTTTTCTTCAGTTCTTTCTCATAAGGAATAAGTAAGTGCAGAGTAAAGTTCCAATTGTCGAAAGAGACAATTCTCAGAACCCGCACAATTCCAGGAAACGCACGTAGCTAGGTTACCATTCTTACTTACTACAAAGACTTGAACGCCAAACAGTAATCGATTATCACTCAATCGAGATCACGTGATCCTTCAGAAACAGAACTTTCGTCTGATTGGTTGTCTTTACCCGGGACCCGAGACATTTTCGGTGAGGTTTGAAAAAATCCCACGTAGCCGCAACATTGCTTCCGCCGCTAGGCGGGACTTTGCTTCAGGCGGGCCTTTCTAGCAATCCTTCCGTTTAAACCAGTGCTACCAGAATCTCGTTTCTCAGAAAAGTCCTGTCTAGCAGGGACTGTAGCCATGTGTGATAACCTCTTTAAAGTTTTAAGTGCTATCTGTCATACAATAAACACATATTACTGAAATTGCTAATAAAAACATGACTGCATAAGGACACTTGCAATAAAATTTTGTGTTAAGTAAACCTAACATTTCAGAAGAAAAAAAAAAAAAAAAAAATATATATATATATATATATATATATATATATATACACTGCGGGCCATTAAAATTGCAACACCAGGAAGGAATGATATGACGAACATTAAAATCACATGAAAGGAAAAAAAAAAGGTCGAGATATGTAAATGAAAGGAAGAGGCTGGGATATTTCAGTGCATTTAGACAACACAGGAGGGAGAACCTACGTCTGAAGCACTGCATAAAAGGAAAGCTGTGTGAAGATTTTTCTTTCGGAATGTGCTTTATATAAGATGAATATCATGTTATGCCTCGAATAAGAAGAATAAATGCTTACCAGCAAGTGTCAGAATTCGATAGAGGCAGGATCATTGCCTATTGAGAGTGTGGATTATCATTCCATGACATCACCGTTGTACTGGTCAACATTCAACCACTGTCATGCGAATATGGAATCAATGGGTTGCTGAGGGTCATACTAAACAGCATGCAGGATCTCAATGCCCTCCCATGACTACGGCCTGAGATGAGAGATATATTGTTAGGTCAGCCCTGTAAAACCATACAACCACATCACAGACCATTAGTCAGGAAATGGGCATGTTTGCAGCCAGCCTACCCAGTATCCACTCCCAGGGTTCGTCGACGTTTGTAGCAGCGTGGACTATCAGCATAGTGACCATTACTTCGGCTTCCCATGACAATGCAACATAGAGAGAGATGGAGACTCTGGTGTCCCGAATGACAAAGCTGGATACTGGAGTGGCACAATGTTGGTTCTGTGTGCAGTAATTCTGATGGCCGTACATGTGTCTGGTAGCTTTAAGGAGACCACAAGTTGCCTGCTTGCATTTCATATCAATTTGCATGATATGCATTTGATATGATTGTTTCGGGAGCCATAGGGCACATGAACGCACATCTCTAATTCGGATCGACGGTAATTTGAACGCAGATCGGTACATTTCTGACATCTTATGTTCTGTGGTTGTGCCCTATCTTTGAGGCCTTCCAAATGGCATCTTTCAACAAGATATGCAAGACCACATGCTGCATGCCGTGTTCCGAGATTCCTTGACACACAAGGTATTCGAGTGCTGATCTGACCTGCATGGTCGCCAGATCTGTCACCCATTGAAAACAGCCCACCAGCGGCTGAGCGGTAAAGTCGCTGAACACTGGTAGTTCGGTCCGAGGTTCGAATCTTACGAACGGGCTGGCTGCATGGGTGTTTTCGTGGTTTTCCCCATGTGTAACGTGTATACGAGCCAGTTTCCCTTGGAAAGTCCTCCATGAAGGCATACCTCCCCTTAGGCATATAGCCCTCGAGGCTTTGCCGTAATTAAATTAAATAACCTAACCCAATGAAAACATCTGGTCATGGGTTACTGAAAGACTGGAACACTGCCCCTCTACAGCTAATACTGTCAAAGAAGTGTGGTATAGACTTGAAGCAGCAAGGGATGAGTTGCCCGTTTCTGTCATTCAAGCACAATTTGACTCCATGTCTAACTGTGTAAGGACAGTTTTAGCTGCCACGGTTGGCAGATGTTTATACAGTCAAAAGTCTAATCCGGACTCGTCGGGACTTCGGCGATTCCGGATTATCGATTTTTCCGGATTATAGATCATCAGTTTAAATCTGGTAAGATGGCATGCAGAAATTATAAAATTAAAAATATGAAACTGTAATTTATAAAATAATGAGCAATTATGATCTAAAGGGTATCAAAATTTACCAAAAAAGAAGCCTAATATTTATTGTTTTACTTTATTAACATTCTTTCAATGCGCGGATGCGTAAAGCATACCTTACGCATAGCCGAAATTAGAAAATTGCAACCAGAAAACTATTTGATTTGTATTCGTGATATTTATAAGACGAGGAATTTGATTTAATCATATCAAAGATGGAGTAACCCGAAATTAAATACTACATTTAGTAAGGAATTATAAGCCGAATAAAATAAAAACATCTGCCCTGAAGATAACGATAGTGTTGACAAATCAACTTCCAGTTCATTGCGCGCCGCGACGTCCCCCCCCCCCCCCCCCCCCCCCCCCGCCGCGCAGAGCAGCGTAAATTGATAAACAGATTTCGGAACGGTTTTAGATAAACAA